GCTGATGGCAAGATATTGCCTTGCATTTGAGTCAATTAAATTGTTTTTGGGATTACAAGGAAATGAAGATTTAAATGATCTGGTAGGAATGTCAATCCGCCTCATATCATTCTGCCAGTGCTTTGAATTGCCCTCCTGTTGCAATGCTATTTTATATTATTTTATATTTTATTGTTGGACAGTGAAGCAAGACATAGCAAACGGCACGAGTGGAAACGGGACTCGAAGTCCTATGCGAGGCACTCTACCTTTTTTTACAAATTAATGAAATTACAAAATTACTCTTACTATTACTATTACTATTACTATTACTGCAACCAATGAACATATGCCAATTGCTTGAAGCTCAGACGTTTTTATGTGGTTAAACATAGTTAAACTGCGAAGGTCTGCAGGACAAGCTATTTTACACATACAGTTCCAAGAACGACTACTGGAAAATATTTGTTTTAGGGACCGGTCATAAAGTAACTGCTAGGGTGGGCCAGAGGAAAAAAGAGGTTTTCAAAAACAAACCCGATGGCCCATCGTAGGTCATTGGAAAAATTTCACGACCCATCCTGAATATGTACAGTATAGCAGTCACTTTGATCAAACCATGCACTGAGAGTTTGAGTCACTTACTCATAACTCAGTTGTATAGTAGTTAAGTTGCATGTATTCAGTGCAAACAGGCTATATGTGTTTCATGGCCCATCCATTTGTACAAAAAACAAATCGATGGCCCACCCAAACTGATGAAAATAATTCCATGGCCCATCCTTATTTCCTCCGGCCCATCCTAGCAGTTACTTGATATGACCGGTCCCTTACACGATGGAACTCTAACGGTACGAGAGAAAGATTTTCACAGTTATGAGTACGATTACGACGAACAAACGACACACAATTAGAAATATTTAAATCGCAAAGTCCATTCAGCAACTTAAAGAAATATGTCAAATCCTTGATCTCTCTGTCGTATGTCAACGGGAGAAGGTTTAAGATCTGTTATAAGGTTTAATATATTTCATATATAAGTGCGACCCAATTCAAAGTCTGGACCGCGCATCCAAATGACACGTTTTGCGTCAGGATAAATTTTAGTTGAACTTTCACATGTAGCTGAAACTGGAAGAAATAGGATATGCATGTCAAATTATTCAGCTGTTCAATCATCATTTGAATATGGCAACAAAAAGTACTAAAAAACGATTAGTTTCTACACGGTTGACTTGCTTTAAATTAGAAAAAATAATCCCTTATACATGTAAGTGTATCTTTCCTTATTTTGCTTTACACAGAAGACAAAATATGCTAGTACAAAAATTATTTAATGACAGGTGCTATTGCGGCTTTTGGTGAACGCCAGATAACGTTTTCGTGTAGACAAGTAAATGAAACATGGCGGCGCCCTCCCCCATCCCCTATACCCCCTGCTATATATAGTGTCCCCAGTATAAGTATATCTATTACTCTGTTTTCTATACAGAGTTCTGTTTATCTGAATCATGGTATGATTTTTTTTATTTACCCTAACAAGGTCAACGTTGTGTGCCAATGTAAAGAATTCATTGATTTGAAGCTAAGGAATAACGAGAAGAAAGTGCTAAATACTTTAAATAAGGACAAAAACCGAGTAACTATCAGGTATACAGCTATTTCAATTAAGGTTGTCCCCCGAGCAAAGTGGAAAAGTCGAATACGAGCGTGAAAGGCTGCTGGGAATCGCTAATAAATGAATGAATTTATTAGCGATTCCCAGCAGCCTTTCGCGCTCGTATTCGACTTTTCCGCTTTGCTCGGGCGACAACCTTAATTGAAATAGCTGTATACCATACTACATGAAACAGTCCTTACATTTTAAATATATGCGTTGTTCCAAATATGTTTATTTACAGCCCAGACTTATATTTGAGCAATAATTTTGAACAGTCTGTTGGCCTACCAGTGTTAGTAGTGCCAGTAATAACGAAAATTCGGCTGATAGAGATGCACGTATCTGAAAACTACACGGAGAAATTCGACGGTTCGAGCGAAGGCCCTTCAACCGGAAGTTAGCGAGGAAGGGCCTACCCGACGTCTTACCTTCGCTCGAAACGTTGAATTTCTCCTTGTATTTTTTAGGTAGTTGCAACTCTATCAACCGAAATTTTGTTAAATTTGACCAACTGATATTCATCGTATCTTTCAGAATTTATCAAAGAAAAGTTATTAAATCCTTAGTACAAAATTTACATGTGACTTGTTCCACTAGCCAATGACTAAGTTGCTTTAAATTTTAATTTATAGGTTTCCTATAAATGGAAAGATTAAGACAACGGAACAGAAGATCAGTTGGTAAGAAATTATGCAACTTCACAACTAACCAGTGGTGCCTAAATTACTTTGAATTTGTACTCGAGTAAAAGTAGAAGTATTAACAATAAAACGACTTGAGTAAGAGTAAAAAGTACTGGAAGCAAAACGTACTTAAGTAAAAAGTACAAAGTATCCTTAAAAAATACTTGAAGTACAAAGTAAAAGTACTATTGTCTGTAGCGTGTAGAGGGGGAGGGGAACTTCTCCAATGGATTGACATACCAAAGACACAAACAACACACGCATTATATGCGTGCACAGAATATACAATATTTCACGGCATTGTCTACTTTCCAGACCCTGTTGAAGATATAAGAAATGCATTAAATAAATAATTCTTATAAGTAAGTCATAAACGAGAGGTCCCAGACGCATGTAGAGGTCGTATTACCTTTCCCGAAATTAAAATAAACCAGAAATAAATCGCGTAAAATTAAACAAAAGTTAGAAAGTAACGAAATACTTTGCCGCAAAATGAAAATAACGAAGTAAAACGTTACTTTTTAAAATTACTTCGTTCCAAGTAAAAGTACTCCAGAAAACTGTTACTTTGTTACATGCTGACTTCTCAAAAATAGTACTCAAGTACAGTAACGAAGTACATTTACTTCGTCACTTCACACCACTGCAACTAACCCAATTCTAAATGAGTTTAATTAATTTATGTGTAACAAAATACTTTATTTAAGTAATATTGCAAATCCGACTATGAGGACTGGACCTCCGAATTGGAAGATTTGAAATGACATTTCATACGGATAAATCACAACTTAAAGTGAGGTGAATTAATTCAGTCCATGCAAGGACTGAATTAATTTTGATCGGACTGGATCAATACACTTCACTAGTTCACCAGGTATCCAATATTATTATGTGAACAAAATAAAGCAAATATGTGCATGGTTGGCTAATTTACTCGAAACTATTTAGGAGTTTAATTAAGATTTTGATTTCATTTACCTATGACAAAATACTTGTATAGTACTTGTGAAAACCCACCATTAATAGATTCTGTTATCAGTAATTATGCAAATTTTAAATATGGAATGTTTGAATTTTCTTAAACTTTAATATTCTGTTGCCACATCAGAAGAAAAATAATCTCTGCATCGTCCGGACTAGCACTATCGAATCGTGTTGTAATTTGAACATAAATAGCAAGTTGATGGATAACACAAGTTATTTTGATTATGTATCAATTTGTCATAGCACTTCAAATGGACCAAATGTAAAAGGCTGCCCACCCTCTTCCAGAAGAAATGATTTTCAAAATTGCTGAAGAAATGAACGTATATAACAAAACTTTATCTCTTTAGTTTGCTTCAAGCAACACTTGGATGTCTTCCAATCAACGAATTTTCATTGAATCAAGACGTTACGGTAACTGATCTCTATTTGCAATAACTCGTTCATTCGTGTAGTGTTTGACAACTAAAACTGGATTCTCCATTTTTTCCAGAAAATCTTTCGATCTGGGCAACGTGTCTCTAAATGTGAGTAATAACAAATATGTTATTCAGACCTTAAATATTTGATACTTGGCTGAGTTAAAAACCTGAGTTTTTGTCCATTTAGGTTTGTATGAATTTTGTATGCTACAAAACAATTACAATTTGCTGATGAACGCCTTGCAGTTAAGCAAGTGTTTTAGATCCAGGTGAGGTGACCTAAAAATTTAAACATAGTATATTAATATAAGAAGACAGATGGAGGCACGGCCAATAAATACAGTGAGCACGGATAACAACCCCGAACAGAAATACAGTATAAAACAAACACCGGGCAAAATAAAAACCCAAGATATGGACTAAAACAAAATTATTGTGTTATTATTAAGACAATATTTCATCAGGGTGCCCAACTCATAAATAGTGATTTCAGTGAGGCCCTGAGACGAATCACAAATAGTGATTTCAGTGGGGCCCTGTTGAGACTTTAAATGGTTATATACTTCGATCCTGTTACAGAAACATCATCAGACTAACTGATTTACAAATAAGTATATAAATGCTCTTTATTTACAGCTAATTCAAAAAAGGTTGTCCTTCGAAAATCTCAAACCTTAAACTTTGTGTCCCAGATGATAAGATCTCGGGAAGTGAAGAAGTACATTTTCCCAGTATAAAATTTAGTAGCATCTCTAGAATCATAATCAAGAAGACTCTGAAAGTGTCATTTCCGATGATCTAGAGATTCCAAATATATTCACCCCCCCCAGTTAATCAAGCATCATATGCTCCTACAGCACAGTTTGGATTGGTGCATGGTGCGGCCAAATACATGCACTCGCATGCATAATGCATTTGAATTGTGTTTTATACCGATACAATTTAAAGGTTTTGAGAAAAAAATCCTGCATAGATGAATGAGTACAAAAATATATTGAGCATCACAAATTCACACAACTTCCCCATCAGATATCTAATTGTCCACCCCTTACCACATATAGCTAAGGCGCGAATGTTGTACATTTTTGTGTTATTTGCATCTCAAAAAAATTCTACTTTTGTCCTACTTTTCTACACATTTTCCTACTTTATTCCTACTTTTCCTAAAGGAATACCGAATGGTTTTCCGTGCAGGATTGCGTGATCCGTGCACGCGGGATGTTGCGAGACTTTCGGAAAGCATGAAAATACACGAGCCGTTGGCGAGTGTATTTTTACGCTTTCCGAAAGTCGAGCAACATCCCAAGTGCATGGATCATGCTATCCTGCACGGGAAAACCATTTGGCTGGCAATTGTTTTATAAAATTACTACAGTGAAACGACGGTTAACTTGATTAAAATTACTGATGAAATGCGCAGTTTTCACAACAATCGTGAATTAACCAATCGGAGAATCGCTACTCCACGCTATTGAAAACAACAACAAATGTGAACAGAATTTGATCGCAAATTCGCGAAAATATACAGCGAAAATACAGAAACTTTTTCGATAAAATATACGAAATTTGAAATGGAAAACCCGCTAAACAGAGAGCCAAAGTAGTTTTGGAGATTCTCGACCTGAATACTTGAAGATTGCGAAGCGTTTGAACTTTGAAGCGAGAGATGTTGTACTTGCCAATTGCCATGGTCTGATGAATTTCAACGCTACGCGTTGCTACTTGCTTAACAGCAATGTATCGATCAGAAATTTATTCATACAACTAAACCAACGACTCAATAATTGCAAACTTACTTCAAAGTCGAAAGGTATGGTACAATGAAACTTTACAATGCGAGTAGCTATATTTGTAAAATTATGTGCAAGAATTTCTGTTTAGAATTTCCCGTGCAGGATTGTCTGATCCTGCACGGCTGTTGACCAATCAAATTGCGTGTTTCACTGTAGTTATTATATAATGCCTTTTGCAGGTTACTTAAACCTAGTGTCAACATTTTTAAGCAAACTTGATGACTTGTTTTTGCAGGATATGGGAAAATTCGAAATACGTTTCAAAGCAGCTGGAGAAAGTGGGTATGCATCAATAATTCAAGTGGTCTTTTTTGTAACCATTTAAAGTAAAAAGTAATATGGATTCTTCTTATTCTCATTTAGGATTGTCAATGTCGACGATGCTTGTTAATGCTGGTTTAACGACATTTCAAAAAATCGAAGAGACAAACCCAAGAGAAATTGAGCTGGTAACAATCAGTTTACTATCAAAACCAATATCTCTTAAGGTGATTCATCAGTACTTGATCTGGAAATGAGAATTTGCTGAAACTTGCCAGGGTTATGGCGCCATCTTGACCCTTTTATGAGTTGCAGGAACAATTGCAATTTCAATTGCATGCTCAACGGTTATTTTTTAACAAGGATACTAAAATGTCCATCCAGTGATTATATATAAGAAGACATGGTATTTTAGCGAATCAAAAACCATGTTATTTTGGGAAGCATACGCGAAAAATGTAAAATATTATAAGTTGTAGAAATTATCTTTCTTTTATTTTCTGATTTAACATCACATGCAAAACGTATAGAAGAACAAAAATAAAAAAGTGGGGTCACAGACCTTCTTAAAGAGATACAAGGGTCAAGCATGCAAACTGGTGAATCACTTTACGCTGAGATATTAACGTATAAATTATTCACAAAGTGTTACGCCCCAGCTTTCCTTTGTGCTTTCAGATGCGAACTATTATTAATATAAAAATTACGCCACCAAAATTTTATTAAAATTTGATGGCAAGCCGTTGCCACCCAATTTTTCACATATACGCTCCGCACAAAATGAAATATCCGATACCCCCTAAGGGGTGGACTATTAGAAATCCACCGGATGTAGAGAAACAATTTGAAAAAACGTGCAAGTAAACGGCAACTTTTTTATTTGAATGTTTTAGGGACCGGTCATTATTTATGGCGGGG